TGGTATCTTCTTCCCATACATGTCTCTTATCAAGACTGAAAAGTGATTCGGGTTGGAGAATATGATATGAGCCAGATTTTTAAACCTGGAATAGTTTTGGAATAGGCCACTTAAAGAAAAGCTTAAGCAGCAAAATGACACTGAAACTGACACTGGCATACTTCAGGCTGATCTTGAGAAGGTAAGACTGACTGGAGAAGATAATAATGCTAAGGAAAGTTGAAGACATAAGAAGAGGGAAACTAGCTATGAGATGCAGCAGTTCCACAAGCCTTGCGTTTACAAGAGCTGAGCAGGGCTGTCAAAGACTGGATACTTTGGAGATCATTTATTCATAGGATCATCATAAGTTGGAGATGACTTGATGACAAATAACAATAAAGGTATATAATCTTAAATAATTATAAATTAATAATATATTAGTTGACTACATATATGGTGCAGTTTGGGATGAAAATGCATTTTCCCAACAATAAAACATTGCTATCCTAAGTACTTGGATCGCAAGGCGATCTCACCGGTCAGTCCTAGAGGAGATCAACCCTGACTGCTCTTTAGAAGGACAGATACCGAAGATGAAACTCAAATACTTTGGCCACCTAATGAGAAGGAAGGACTCCCTGGAGAAGAGCCTAACTCTGGGAACAATAGATGGCAAAAGGAGAAGGGGACGGCAGAGGATGAGGTGGCTAGATGGAGTCACTGAAGCAGTTGGTGTGAGCTTGGATGGACTCCTGGGGATCGCGGAGGGCAGGGGAGGCCTGGAGAAATGTTGTCCATGGGGTCGCAATGGGTCAGACACAACTTCGTGACTAACAACAAAATCTTAAGTACTAGGCCAAGTTGATTTCAAAGTGGCAAAAGGAAAGGTGAGAGAATTTAGGTTGGTGGGGAATCCCCTTAAAAGTGTAATGCACATTTGGTCTGATTCTCTGCATGTTTACTCAGAAGTGAAACTGAAATCAATAAGAATTACTCTCACATAGTTTGCCTTAAATTGCGGGGGAGGAGGGAGGAAGGAAGGGCAGGTCTTTTACATTTTCCATTGGCTGAATCTTGGAATATTCCATTTTTCCAGTGCATTAAAAAAATATATTACTCAAATTCTACACTGAGATTTCATATATTCCTCATTACTCTAAATGCTTTCTCTTACTTCCTCTTCTCTGACTTTCCCCACCTTCCCCTTTGCAAAAATGCATCTTTTTCTCAGTTGCCTTTTCTTTGTCTGAAGTGACATTTAAATAATACTGCTTATCTCTAAAGATTGGCCATGAGTCATTATTTGCCTACAGCTGGTTTTAGGCTCTATTTACAAGGAAGGTTTGGTTGTTGCTGTTGTTGGTTTTTTGGTGGGGGGAGGTAAATTAAGCTGCTACAGTTAAACTCAGCTGTATTAACAAGTTTGTATTGACCCATCTCAGTTGTTTGTTGCTTCAGATTCAGTTTTAAATATCTTGTGGAATTTCCTGATTTTTTTTTGTATTTTATTTATCCTGTATTATTTGATGTTTATATTTTATACTGTATATAGTATTTTTTGAATGGTTGTACTTTGCCCAAAGAACTTGGGCTACTGTAGGGTATAGAAATAAAATAAACAAAGTGACAGTGACAATAGGGAGCAATCCTGTTTCATTTGGATAGAAGCAAGTCCTGTTACTCCCTGCATTCTACTTTGCCCTAAGGATTCTTCAAGTGGTCTGCTTTCCTCAGTAGCAGGAGCTCCAAAGAGGAAAAAATGGATTTTTCAAGAAAGAGAAGGAGACACATTATCATCACTGCATTTATACGATACTAACTTGAAAGATGGGCACTACAGTTCATGCTGATCCAGCTAGTACATTTGCACAAGCAATAATCAACATAGGCATCCCATATGGATTGTGGGTGTAATCATGATGATTCAGTAGGGGTAATACTTGACAGCCTGTCTAGAAGTACTGTAAAAAGCCTCAGTGCTTTCCTATTGCAAAAGTTTAATTTGATAGATCTCACTTGCGTTACACCATATAATCAACCAACCAACCAACCAACACTATTTATTTAAGATTATCAGCTCTGTAAATCATGAGTTGTATTCAAACTGTATCCTTTCATCAGTAGAATGGACATCTCTGGATAATCCTTCCCCTTCACCCCCCACCCCATTGTCTGCTATGGAGAATTCAGCAGGCTCAGAAGGATGTGAGGAGGATGCAAGGAGAAAGGGGAGAAGGGAACCTCCTATTACATAAGTAGAAGTGATATTTATTTATTGATTTATCTATCGATTTTTATCCTGCCTTTTTCCTACAAAGGGCTCAAGGCAGCTTACATCATTCCCTTCCTCCATCTTATCCCCACAACAACAACCCTGTGAGGTAGGTTGGGCTGAGAGTCTGTGACTGGCCCAAAGCCACCCAGTTGGCTCCATGGCTGACCGGGGACTAGAACTCAGGTCGTCTGAGTCCCAGTCCCACACTCTTAACCACTATACCACACTGGCTCTCTGATATAAAATGGACACAAAGGTTAATATAAGCCAGTCTGTAGGACTATCCAGATATCAGGCATGTGGCGTGCCACTGAATTTCACAATGCTAAATCATGCACTTTTTACCCAGAGGTGTTTGTGTGAATCAAGAAATATGGTATACAACTAGCTTCCAAAGTGTCAAAACTTTAACTATATTTTATTGATTTGTGAAATTTGTTAAAAAGCCTCCCATTAGCATCATGCTTTTTGGGCAGCCATTACAATAAAATTACCAAAAGGTAATTAAAATTATACAATTAAAATGCAAAAGATAAAATAAAGTGGAATGACAAATAAAATTGTAATTTTGTTAAAATGATAAAACTCTGAAACAAAAGCAAAAACAATCATACATGCTAAGCACTATGTTTTACTCACATGCATTCCTGTCTAGTATCAACATTATCCAGAGTGCATCACCTGTGCAACTCTACTGTTGTAAGGAGCTGCACCTTTTCAGCACGAAACTCCTTTAGTAACTACTCTGCCTATTTGCTACCAGGCCAGGTAGAAGGTTTTGGTGCTCATGTATAAATCTTAAACCTTGCTACCAGGATTCCTGTCCTAGTCGCTGAGGTAATAGGTGGCATGGAAGTTCTGTATGGACCTATGACCTAGTTGGGGTCTGCCCTTTAGTGTAGAGGCATTGTTTGTTTGGAGCTCCTGGCCTCTGGAGGTCAGGCAGGCACCAACATTGTCACCTTCAGTGTCTGCTGAAAACACTTTTATTTCTGGAACTGGATGGGACTGGACTGGATGCCTTGCCAAGTACTTCAAACCCTAGTTGGTTCATTGTTGTTTGCTGACCAATTGCACCCCTGTTGGCTTCTAGCCTATGGTGGTTTGTTTAGGTATCCAGGCTGCTTTGGTTGTTGCTTTATTGTCTGATCCCTCATTCCTGCCTACTTCCTGTAACCCTGCTTGCTTGCTTGCTTACTTGTGCTGGAGAATAGTAACTGCATCCAACAAATATTTGAGTGGCATTACTAGACTAGTATGCCACAGAGACTTTTGAATTTGCTTGGGACTCTAATGTATGTGAATTTGCTATGGTTCCCTTAATAAGACTAGCTAAGGCTCATGGTTTTGGACTGGTTCTTGCCAGTGTACCCCTAAAACTCACAATGCTAAACACTCAGGGTATTGTGAGAATGAGTAAAAAAAAAAAAACCAACAACACGGTACTTAGCTAGCTACTAAAGTGTTGGTAATGTTGGGGTATAAGCAGAGAAATGGCCTTTACTGAGTCAGGCCATTGGTTCACCTAGTTCATTATTGCCTACACTGACTGGCAGCAAGTAAAGTGTGTGTGGCCCTTCTACATGTAAAGTATGTGTTCCTCCACTGAGTTAAGGCATTCAAGTGATTTCATGTAATACTTTTATATAATTGCATGAGTGCTACTAATAAGAGGAGCTGTCCTTTCAGCACCACAACACAGCTGGCATTGTATGTGTGCATGCATGCCATTTAAAGGAAAAGGGCCTTTTCCACAGTAGTGCCCCCATCATGGAACTCTCTTCCATCAGAGGTCCAGTTGGTGCCATCTCTTTATTCTTTTAGGCACTATCTTTTTTTGTCTTTTTTTCACCATTATTTTGGTGGGTGAGCCCTTGGTCTATGGTTTTAATGGTTTTATGTTGCTAATTGCTGCTGCCTGAACCAGATTTTACCTTTTGTACTTTATTTTTGCTTAAATTTACTTTATTTTTATTAAAATTATTTTAAATAGTCTTATTAATCATTTAACTTTATGTCTATTTTATTATTTACCTTGTAAAAACCTCGATGTGTAAAGAGTAACTGAATAATTTAGTTATTCTTAGGGGCAGTGGTTATTGTACTAAATCCTACATTTTAAATATGAAGACCAGGTATTTTTGCACACAGAAGTACAAGTACGTATGAGTCATGTGTATACATATTTTGTTCACAAGAACTGAAGATGACCGTGCAGTTAAGAGGAGGATGAAAACACACACACACACAGCCTTTCATAAAAAATGAAATAAGAGTTAAAGAGTCATTTAGTCTTTAAAGGGCTAAGCATTGATTTCTCTGTGTATATAACAGGATCAGAAAAGAGAATGCAGCATAAAACTATTTCACAATCATGAATGTTGATATTGTGAAGCTTTGTCCAATGCTTAAGCACATTTTGTTTGTGTCGAAAACTACACCGCACCAAATAAAGGAGAAACCATTCAGATGGCATTCATAACAACCCGCCTCCCAGTATATATCGCATAACTCAGTTAAAGTGGTACTATGATGACAGTAACCAACCAGAAGGCATCATGCAAATCAGAATACTGTATCCTGTACCAACTGCTCTGTTGCTAGCTGGTTGTTATAGTGATAAACTGAGGCCTTGCCTCTTGGCTTCTCCTTGAAAGAAAAACCTCTAATTTCTCCAGGGAAGGAAAGGAAGAGAAGGGGGGAGGCGGGGGACAGAATTACATGAGAAAGGAAAACATTATCTGGCTGAGAAAAGAATAGCAGAGAGGGCATCACGGAGAGAAGCATTCACTGGCCATGCCAGTGCTTGCAACTAATGCTGAGTCAGAAACAGGTATCCCAAAATCCTTTTCTAATGAGCTTCCTTCAGAAACCATGGAGGAGATAGAGCACACATGCCCTCAGCCTCGATTGGTAAGTAAAGACAAAGGAAACATTTATTTGCTATCCTGAAGCTCTTTGCCTTATTAGGATATAATGGAACCAATGCTTTACAGGCTGAATCGAAATGAAAGAACAGCCTAATCCATGTTACGTTTTTGTTTATTCTAAGAATGTGTATTACAAAGCATTAATTATGCCTACTGCATTAAGGTAGACAATGAGATCATAGTATTTTTCTGTGACCAGTCTCCTTCAACAAAAGCATGTCAGGCTATGCAAAAATGGCACTTTAGCCTTTGTTAGATTCATATTTTCAGCAGAACTCTTTATTTATTCCTTGCCTGCTCTTTGCCTTTCTGCTGACTTTAAAAAATGAAATGGCTGAGAAACAGAATTTCACAATTATCATTATCATCAAAACATGTCTGTTACAGTAGCATTTCAAAGACTGTCACAGACCCCACTTTTTCCCCCTCTAGGGATTCCAGTAACACTGTGTCTTTAACAGGCATATTACTTTCAAGCAGTTGAGTCATATGAATTGGGGATTTGCATCAGGGAAAAACTGCATTTCTTCAATAATTAATCTATAGTGCATGCAAAGACTCCAGCTCCATATAGAATAAAGAATCCTTTCCTCACTGCATGGCTCTTGTCTTGAATTTGACCGGCTTCTATGTTGACTGTTTCCATTGTTATGATTTTGCATATGCATTTTTTATCAGTCGGAGACTTTGCTTAGCTATTTTTTTTAAAGGGACAGGGGAATAATAGCTCACTTTGGTGATGCTCTGAAGTTGTTGTTCCATAAGTTATTCAGCTACCCTAAAAACTACTGGGTAGTTTTGCATGGCAATAGATGAATATACTTGCAGATTATGATTCAAAAGGGAATTGTAAAGAGATGGCCTCTAGTTTATGTGAATGGGACATAGAATTGACTTCTGAAAGTAAAAATGTATTAAGAAGTTTACATACTTGGAAGTAAAGTATACCTATTTCAGTGGGATTTAGTTATGAATAAATATGGTTAGAATTGAGAAGGGGATCAGTGATTCAGTGATGGAAAAGAGTGTCTAATTCTACCCTAAGAATCTTAACCATTCCTAAGTGACAGTGTACAGTAACTTGAGTGAAGAACATGTGGCCCTTCAGATGTTGCAGCCAATGTTGACAGGAGTCCAACAACATCTGGAGGGCTATACATTCCCCATCCCTTCTGTAAAACAAGAAGCATCTTGAGAGCTGAGTGCTTTACCATGATATTTCCTTTTTCTGTATCCTATTATTAATCTCTCCCATCACTATGTCCTAAGGTTGCTGCATCTGGAGAAAGTTAAACTCAGAAAGGCAGCCAATTTGCCAAGTTAGCACTGTACCACTACGAATATTTAACACTGGAATGAAATATTCACATGGTTTTGGCCAGTGTTTTCTGAAAATTAATTCTAATTATTAAATTAAAGCTTCAATTTTAAAAGGTATTCAGGACCTATAAATATTGATGGACGGCACTTGGACTAACTTTTTAATAGAGTTACATTTCCACTTATTCAGTTTTTTGTTCTTATTATACTATTTGTTTGGCTTTTGTGTTCAAATCTCAGACAGAACAAAGTATTTTGTAATATTACAATTACACTATCTGACAAGTAGAATGAATGAAAGGAAATAATAGGCATAATACTTTAATATAAATGTTAGCTATTGTGATAGCCTACTTCTGGAAATGTTTGTGGCTGCTAAAACTATACGAATATTACAAGAACTTGTCATGAGTCCATGTGGAAACAGCAAGATATTATTCTCATGTTGACTGGAGTTTACCAGAAGAAGAATCTTAGGTGTACTGACTCCATTTCTATGAAATTCCAGCCTCTGGAGCTCACACAAGCACCAATATTGTGATGTTTTTGGTGCCTATGGAAAACATCTTGGTTCCAAGATTTTTTTTTTTTTTTTTTGGCCAACCATGGTTTTAATGTTAACTTAAAAAAAAAAAAGTATTGTTTTTGTTCTATCTGATTTAGTGTTTTTACTGTTCACCACTCCAGGATCTACCTAGATATGAAGCAGTATACAGATACTGAACATAATAAAGAAAGGTCTGACTTAGATTTTCACAAGCATTTAAAATTAATTACAGGAGAAAAACTTTACACAAAGTTTTATGGAACTCATACTTCTAAAGTGAGGTTATGGTTGGACTATATACTTATTTCCTATGTATTATCTCATTCCTTCATCCCTGCATTCTTGCATGACATAAATGTGCAGATAATGACCTGGAGGGGGAGTTAGAGGAAATATGGTTAACCAGGTCAAGCTTCAGGAAGGAACAGTGATTGAAGTGGCAGAGAACAAACTATCACTCTAATGCAGGAAATAACACGCCATCACAGCTTTTATGTGGGAGCTGGTTTCAAGTCACCATATTATTATTGCCCACGGTTATATTTAAAATCTTGGAACATGGGTAAAACAGAGAAGAAATCAACAAGAGTTTCTTAGATCCAAGTAACCTTATAAAAGGATCAGAAAATTATGCTTTGGGGTTTTTTTTTCCTGATTTACAAGATCAAATGGCCTATCAGAGTTGTAGTAGATAAAACAGATGACTTAAAAAACAGAGGATGATGACCAAATATACATATTGTAGATTCACCAAGGGGGAAAAAAGTAAGAAATCAATTATGTTCATAGAGACAGTTAAAACTTTACATCCCTCTCTCATTTGCAGGTGCTAAAATTGAAACAAGTGTTAGATGCATATCATATGGAAACTGTACTATTAGAAAATACCTACTATGTTGATACCTTTGTGAAGATCAAACTAAATTCCGATAATAGAGTAAAGATGTCCTAACTGTGCAGTGCTGTATCCATCTGCCTTCTGAGTTTGAAAGTTGGTGAACTTTGCGTGCTATTTACTAAGCCCAGCTGAGATGTTTACATTGCAGTCATGTGCATAGCTACACAGAACTGAGTCTCATACATGAATTATTCCTAGGTAAAAGGTATAAGATGCAGCTTTTGTTAGCCAGCAACATTCTGTACCCAGTGGACCAGTATAAAAACTATCCAGGCATACAGGATGTGGGCACATGCCATGAATGCCCCAATACTTGATTTTCACAGTTATTGTTCCTCCTCAAACGAGCTTATGCTAAGTTGCTGACCCATGTTATATGGGGAGAGGGGTGTGTACAGTCACAATCCTGTAAGCATTTGAGCCATCCATATTACTTAGATAATTATTATTCTATGTGTAAATTTTTGCTAGGACAAAAGGATCCTTAAACTCACTCAATTAGATCCTTAAGTCCACTCAATAGATCCACAAGACCCTGCTCCATGATGATGATGTTGTTGTTGTTGTTGTTAATTTTGTTATTCTTATGATGGTTGTTGATTAACAAATATACCATCAAAATAATAATTGATTTAAGGAAGAAAATGAGGGGAACTCCAGAAGAAGATCTAGAAAGAGAGGGGCAATAAATGGAAAGAGAAGAAGAAAGTAGAAGAGCTGCCTCATATTTCCATTAGACTGTAGTAATATATTGTACAGCAAAGAATTTTCTTCTCAGTTTGTGCAACCTTTCTTTATAACACAGCCCACCAAACACTTAAATTCAATTTGACCCCAATCCAGCTGACTGAAATCCATGTTACAATCATAAACGTCATCTATGGATCATCCTACCCATCATATCTAGTATATATTATATACACTTGTCCTAATGTTGTTATAAGTTATGGTATGAATGGGAGGAAAATAACCATACCAATGTTCTTAAGATACACCGTTTTTGACAATTGAATGCTTAGTGTGCCCAGGAGCACCTCTTTGGATTTTGCTGAACATTCTCTTACAGTTCTCTCTTTGCCCACTCCCCCATCCCCCAGAGTGTATGAAATCTGAAATGGTGCCCTTAAGAACAGCCCCATTTCCACAGAGTTCATGTCAGATTCAAAAATTGGTGCAGCTCTGAATCAGAGCAAATGCTTTTGGAGTGTGTGTATCAGTTTGCATGACCTGAGGATGGCCAATAAGCAATGCCGACATGTCAACCACATTCCTGTGTGCCAGCTGCATGCCTCCTGATTTATCAAATTACCCTTGCTGGGCCTGGCTGGGGTGGTTCAGAAACCATCCAGAGCACGTGGACTGTTCTAGAGTTGCTTGAGGTTCATAAACCACTTCAGCCACCAATCCTCACCTGGTGTGGGCATGCACATGGTGGACATGTTGTGAGCGGAGCCAGCTGGTGCCGAAGGTCAGACTAGATGGCCCGGGAGACCCCTTCTGACTCGCTCTGTTTCTGTGTTTCACAACAAGTCAAAGTAAGAGTGAAATTCATGCATAGTTCCTGGCTATACTCCACAACAAATCCCCATAATATGTCTCTGCATGATTCATTGAACAAGAAATCCAAACTAGGTAAAAATTCAAAATACTGGTGGCTTTGACTATTGTATAATCACAATAGCATGGGGGGGGGTTGTATAATTTGCATTTACTTATATGATTTATATCCTACTTTTTTCTTACAAAGAACTCAAAGTGGCTTACAGCATTCTCCTCTTCCTGTCCTGAAATCTTATCCCCACAACAACCCTGTGAGGTTGGGCTGAGAGTCTGTGACTGGCCCAAAATCACCCAGTTGGCTTCATGATCAAGCAGGGATAGAACCCAGATTGCCTAAGTCCCAGTCTCACACTGTTAACCACAACACCACACTGACTGACTGACTGACTGACTGACTGACTGACTGACTCATTCATTCTCTCTCCCCCCTCAACATGTGTGTGTGTGTTTGTGCGTGTGTAAAAATCACCCCCAACACATAGACCCATTTTGGACATCAAAACAAGCCATGGTGGCTTCTTTTAAGTCACAGTGTGTGCCAGGTACCATTTTCCTAATCAGTCACCAGTTGCAATCTGTCATGTCATTTAACCAAGATATCATGGCTTGCTTGAAGGTGAAGCAACCTTCCTTTTGTAGGAAGATGACAACATCTGAACATTCCATCAAATTTATAAATGAAGCACAGTATTGGCGCTATCAAGTGCCTTGTCTGGAAGCACCCTAACAGTTTGAGGGTCATTGCTCTTGATCAACAGTGATGCTAGCATAAACTATTTTGAGGATGCCAAAGGAAGGCTTCTTAGAATTCCTAAGCATACACGATCAAAACATTCTGCTTCTTCTACCAGCAGGGAGAAAGGGAGGTTGGGGCGGGGGGGGAGAGAAAAGACCACAGAACAGACCTATTTTCTTCAAGTTATCTCCCAGGAAACAGCTTTTTCCTAGCTAGGTCATGATTACCAGTTGTAGGCCTCAGACCATAGCCATTATTGTTTTAACATTTCTATCTTCCTCTTTATCCCAGCATGAACCATGTCTGGTTGGATGTTGTATAAGTTGACCTTGCTTAGAAAGAAAAAGGCAGTTTAACACTCAACTACCACAAAGACAGAAGGGAAAAGACAGTGATTAGAAAATAAAGGAAAGACTGTATGATCATGTATAATATACAGAAAACACTGCACTACGTGGTTAGTCAGTTGAAAAGCAAGCAACCCCATCTGAGGACATGCTTCGTGCAGCATGCCAGCTGATACTACCTGCCACTACCATGAGTAAAACAATCCCAGTCACCTCAGTTTGCACACACTCTCAGTCACTTGGGAACTAGTGGCTGAAGATTCCATTGGGGTCCTTTGTGCTGGGTCTGTTTTTTGTTTTTTTGTTTTTTGCAGCCTATTTGTGTTCTTGGCAGAGTGCAATTATGTTCAGCACACTGCATGCACCCTGAGTGTGGAAAAATATGGTGTGCAGCTTGTGAGCCTCCCTCATTTGATCGTCAAACACACAAGCTGGGTTTTGGTGAAAACAGGATAAAAGAGTTATTACAGATTAACGAAAAGTACAGAATGGGGAGAAGGTTGGTCAGATTCTCAGCATGCATCCATAAGTGGTTCAAAGTAGCAAATCAGTGACAAAGAAAAAATGTCTAGAAATACCATCTAGCTAGCACAGCCCTGTAATAAGTTGCCTACCTGGTTCCTTGAAGACCCACTCCTGGTGCCTGTATCAGGTCTTCTCCCTTTGACTGGGGAAAAACTACACCTGGGTGCCTGTACCAGAGAAACCCTAGGCAATCTCTCCACATACCTGCATCCAACTAATTTACTTCCTGGGAGACTTGGTCCTGACAGTTCTGCTGGAAAAGTTCCCCATCTCCCTATTCCAGAGGAGTATATCTCCTCTGGTTTCTTACCTCTTGCTTGGGGAGAGATTTCAGAAGAACCTCTTTTGGTTCATTGACAGTCTGGTGATGGATCATTCCCAGCTTTGAAATGGATTTTAGAAGATTCCTGTTGTTCAGGTACCTGGACAGTTTCCCTTTGAATAGATTGGCTACTTGGGAGTGCCTGGACATTTGTGTTACAACAGCAGAACCAGGTGACCTGTCCTTTTATTTGTGTGAAAATCTGCATCTGTTGACAAAAGGGAGGCTTTTATCTTCTGGACCTGAGTAAGATGGAATCAGTATGATCTGGCTGACTGGGTCAATCCAGCCTTACTATAATAGCACCTTGCGGTCTTTTGATCCTAACAAGTTCTTTCTTGCCTCTGCCCCCAAGTTTTCTTCTTGCTCCAAAGTTGGCCACCATTTGCTTTCTACCTTATTGGGAACTCATTAGAACAAAGCCACCTTACAGAGAAAGACTTGGACTCTGAGAGAGAGGTATGTGTGGGCAAACCCAGCTTGTTCCCCTGTCTCTGTTAAAGCAGGACTTGAGCTGGTCTTCCCCACTTCCTGCATCAACCTATTGTAGAACTAGAAATGTGGAATAGCTTTCTGAACAGCAAGTTCTACAGTCAACAAAGGTCTCCCAGTTTAGTGATTTGCGATACACATAAGAACAGGGCAAAGTACTCAAGGAATATAACAACAGCAACAAAAATATGCTACTTTGCCCATACAATTTGAGGATCTAACTAGGTCCTAAAGTTCAGGTTTGCTCCCACCAAAGTTCAGGACAATGTCTCCTTCCAATTAAGAATGGAGTATTTCTTCCTATGGGTAGATTCTCCCCCCCCCCCGCCCCCCGCCACCGCCCCACATACATACACGCCCGGTGCACAGAGCTGGCACTTGAGAAAAAAAGGAGGCTGAGGGGGGGAAATCTAGCAGGAAGTGGAGCTAAAGCTATGACATTTAATGGGAGTGGTTTTCTCAGAAACTGGCTCTAGAAGGTATGGTGAGCATTACCTTAATCAGAGCAGTTAATACTTACACAAAGTTAAAAGGAGGGTTGAAAAGGTCTTGCATATCACTGAAGAGAAATTTTCAACCAACTGTATTAAACAGGACAATTTCTCTGAGGGCTGTTTTAGTTAACTTAGTTGTCTTATTTATTTAAAACAGTTCCTGTCCTGCTGTTCAGATAATCTTCCCAGAGTAGCTCACATAGCTAAAACAGAAGAACCACAATAAACATATAAAAGGCAGCATAAAAGAGTAGCAGAATAGAAACAAACCCCAACCCAAACAAGGTAAAAACACTGCACAAAAGCTCAGCATCTAATGCCCAGACTAAATAAAAAGGCCTGCCTAATGTTATTCAGTGTGCAGAGGGGCTGACCAACCATTGTGACTTATTGTGATCAACCACAATGGTCTCTTCAAGTTTCAAGGCTACCATGATTGCTTGTTGTTGAGATTCTTTAGAATAAATGACCGTATAGAAAAGCCATAAATAAATATATAAAATCCAAATTTGGACAACACAACTCATTGTGCATTTAGCCTCAGAACGAGAGAGTCTCTTGGCAACAGTGGACATTACTACTTTGGCAAATGGCAGGCTAGAGAGCATGGCTCACAGCTGCCCCCATTTTGACCCAGCTGTCCTCTTGCCTCCTTTTTCAGGTAGGAGGCAGGAGTTAGTGATCAGCTTAGCAGCGCTGCCCCATTCTCCAGACAGCACCACCAAGCCCATCAGGCACCTCTGCTACCTCTTGCCTGAGAGTGCAGCAGGAGAACAGAGGTGGGAACCATTGATCCAGTCAGTGATGCTGCTCCCCAAATGGATCAGCAATGCAGACCAAATCAGACATCCCCAGCTCCTGCTCCAGAAGTCTCCAGGGGTGCCCAGTAGGTTTCCCCATCCTTCCCACTGCACTCCGGGTCATGAGCCCTGTTGCATAGTGGGGTCTGACAGCAATGAAATTGGCTCACAATCAGAATTGTCAAAGAGAGGAGCCTTATTCATCTCTGTGGTCTCTCCTGGGATGCTACAAGGAAGAATGAGGGGGAAGGAAAGGAAGAGGGGAGGGAGCAAAGTTCCCACAATGAGCTCTGTCCAGTCATCTAGCAGGCTCATTGTAGGTTCTTGGCACTTAACCAGCAACCCAGCATGATGATTTATCATGCTGGGTTGCCATTGCATTTGACGTTGCCCAGAGGAGCTAGGAGGGAGAGACAAACTGGCTTGGAGTACATAAATTATCCACTGGCTTGAAATAAACTTCAGAAATTTTCACTTATGTCATTCTTGTTTTATATTTTTGAGTCAGGAAATAACAATTTGCAGTTGTATTACTAATGTGGATAGGGTATGTATGACAAGCTAAAGTTAGCTGTTTATAACTTTTCCTCATACCACTGCTTGCCTTACCTTTTATTCCCTATTCCATTATCACAAAACAAAATAAAAAAGGTGGTGGGATATGAAGTGGTCACAGTATTCAGCTCCTTAAGTATTAAAGGAAAGAGCTTCTAGTTTATATATGTATGCATGCATTTCATTTATGTCCTGCCTTTCCTGCAAGGAACCCAATTTCTCAAATATTCCAACTCTGTGGAAATGTATTTTAAAAACAATGCAGGAATGTGCTATTGTGACTTCTTCAGTAGAAAAAAAAGCAAGAGATGGTTCCAGGCAGATTTTTTTCATACTTCTAAATAATCGGGGGGGGGGGGGTTCTTCTATGTATCTACTAAACACTATTTCTAACCATTTCAGATTATATAAATTAACACTTGTCTTTCCTGAATGAGGCCTTGAATCCTTGGTCATATTTTGTAAAGGCATATCTAGAAATATCCCAATGCACATTGTAAGCAATCCAAGAAAACTGCTATTGCATAATCTTCCACCTTATTACTGTGTCAACTGTACAGAAGAAGCAACTGTGAATGCTCTATCTTCTATAAGCTGAAGCCAGTAAGAGTTTGACTTCAAATGAGTAGGCAGATGGATTGCCCATGCCTCCCCACACCCTTGCAATAATAATAATAATAATAATAATAATAATAATAATAATAATAATAATAATAGACCTGGACTAGAACCAAGCTTTTGTAAAAGGCATCATTCTCATTAAGATTGAGATGACATGCTTTGTAGTGATACCCAGTGCTTCTGGGTGATGGCAAGGATCAGTTCCACTGATTGACAATCTACTTTGTCCTCTATCCCTTTGACCTGTCCTTCTCCCCTTTCTAGACTTTGTCTGCACCTGCTCCATTTGCAGGTGAAACAAGCTGTCAGTGCAGAGCTCCTCATGAAAAGCTCACAGTGGCTCAGGCCCGCCTTGGAACTCCAGGTGAGTCCCAATTTGTAAGATACAGATGATTGCAATGCAATACCGCATTCATATCTTTACTTGCAGTTAGAAAAAATGTTTTCTAGGAAAGACAGATTACATTACTGGAGTGTGCATTTGATAAGAAAATGCCCATTAACATACAATTTCTTGTTCCAGTTGCCTGACCCATAAAAGGTGTCCAAACTTGATTGATCTGTTCTGATGAGTGCATGTACTTTTATTGTATATTTGGTAAATGTTGTGGATGCATGTGAATTCAAATAGTCCTATGTGAATACTGACAATCCCAGATGAAGCCAGAGTACATTTTTTTGGTGGAAATAAAGGATATATATTTAATAAATAAGATTGCATGCAAACATTTCCTGAAAAGGCATCCATTCATGGAAGAAGAGTTGCACTTACAGAAGGAGTCTCTCCATAAGTACTAATGGAATGTTCCATTCAGGAATGGAAAATAATTTTTGACTCTATTACACATAGAGATATATTTCCTTTTCTTCAGACATACGTAACTGAAAACTGATGACCACAACATATGCCTGGAATTGTTAATGTATTGGAGTGCTGATATTCTTCTCATAGCAGATATAGTGGCATTCACTTGTTCCTACAGGGGATAGAGGAGCATGCTTGTATAGGAACACAGAAAGCCAGGGCTAACCCTCAGCGTATCACACACACGCGTGCACACACACAACATTGTAGGAGAAAAGAGAGCACTTGTGGAGAGGTTAGAAACTCCCTGAATAGCAGTGACATGTTGCTATCAGATGCTAGTGACCACCAAACTTTGACACCTTGCTCAAGAAAGTACACTTCATCAATTAAAAAGAAATCTAAATGCCTCACATTTTAGGAGAGTTCTGATTTTTAAAACATTTCAATAATATACATGTCATCATGCATTTTTAAAATCTTGGTATCAGTTTTCTATATTACTGTTTTTAAAAATAGTGATTTACTTTTCTAACCTGGACTTTTTTTTCAGTCCGGCTGATCTGCCACATCAGCAAAACAATCCCCCTGCTCCACACACAAAACTCCTCTCATCTCTGCTTGGTGAATCTAACCATTGAGATTTGAATATACCTAGCAAATATGCATTTGTAGTCTGACATACTTCACTTTCAGTTCTTCTTTGACCTGGAAATTGTTTCCTTGCTTCCACAGTGGACAGACCTGTCAGAGTCTATGCAGATGGAATATTTGATCTCTTCCATTCTGGTCATGCTAGAGCTCTTATGCAAGCCAAAAATCTGTTTCCCAACAGCTACTTGTTGGTAGGAGGTAAGGCCAACAACAACAACAAAATCAGGTTATCTCTATGTACAGTCTGCAGGAGAGGCATAAAAAGAATCGGGAGGTTGCTTGCTTGAATCTTGCACAGGCAAAGTTTTAAGGCTACCAGTCGTTGTGAAATGTCAATGAGGGAAGTGTATTTATCTGTGTCATAGAGGCATCTACACAGCCCCTACAGAAAACAGGACAGTGGACTTGAGAGGCCTCTTGTTTGACCCAGCAGGGTTCTTCTTAAGTTTTTATTTTCTACATATGATGTGCACTAATGCCTCTATTCCATAGAAAGAAGTTATAGACTTGTGGGGAGTTTTTTTTCTTAATTGAGACCAAGAAGAAATTTAAATCAGATGTAATCAAGAATAATTTTCTGCCTCCTTTTAGATCTCATAGGAACAGAAATGTAGCATGGGACGTTCTGAAGACCTATTTAAATTTTATTTAAAACAAATATTCTTCCCTCAGTCAAAAATGGCTCCTAGAATGGCTTACAATTAATCTGTAAAAACAAGTCAAAAAGAAAAAGGAATAGGGAGGAAAGAAGGACGGGGACTTGTAGCAGGACCGATAGAATGGCACTGCCTCCCATCTCATCTCCCTTTGTGGTTGCCTCTGGAATGACAGCTGAGGAAGCCTCATCTCACCCAAGTTTGTATGATGGGCTATTGTCCCCTTTTCCCATCACTGGAATTTATCGCTGAAATAGAGTGACTGAGGAAGGAGGTCCCTGTGGCCAATATGACCTACTTAACCCTAATTAAGTTAGTGATGCTTAGCTCAAGTACCATTAATTTGAGGGGGTCTTCTGCAGTATGAGAAAATCTACATCCATCCCACAGGATACAGTACAGGATGGTGAAGTGAAGGATTTCTAACCAAATAGATATGCTCTGTTTTACTGGGCTTGTGTCACTGTGTTTTGAATTGTACTTATGTGTGTATGTCAGTTTGCAGTGATGATCTAACCCACAAGTTTAAAGGCTTCACTGTTATGAATGAAGCAGAGAGATATGAGGCCCTCAGACATTGCCGCTACGTAGATGAAGTCATCAGAGATGCTCCATGGACACTCACACCAGAATTCCTAGAAAAGCACAAGGTGCGTTCCTCTTCTTTCTGTTAGCAATTTTTAGCAATTTTACCAAATGCTTCAAATGATATAGTTTTGAATATGAAATAGGCATGCTTATAAAGCATACCAGTTGCTGAACTGGGCTTGTTCTCTACAGTCTTTCTCTAGCCCAGATTTTAATCCAAGGTGCAGAATAATTCCTCCACACTTACATGGTGGCAGCAATGGCAGCAGCAGGAAAGATGTTCTCTCCATCACCCTCGTAATGGGTGTAATGTAGGTTCTGAGAGTATGAGGCAACTTCCCTTCCTAACACTAACCAAAAAAAAAGAAAAAGCAGAAATTGCCGCATGTAAGGAGCTTGAAAGCTCATTGGGGGTTGTAAAAGTGATTCAGACCCATTTAGATTTGAATGATGCCATTGGGAGTGAAACAGGATCCAATTTGGGTTGCAACTGACAAGCTATATCTGACTTTAAAACAAGACAAAAAAAATACTGTGGCTTGCTGAGCCCAATTCTGAATCAAACTGAGGAAGAATTGACCATCATTACTTATATCTACTGGTCCCAAAGGAATAAGTGGCTTTACTATGTATCCAGACCCATTAGCTACACCATCCTGAGACGTTCCTAGAAGGTAAAGTAACCCAAGCAAAATGGAGCAAAGCTACACGACTAAGATGTATAATATGTGCATTTTTCTTCCATCCTCAGCACATTAGAACCATTAACTTCTTACTGTTGCAACAGCAGCCTTATACTTCTGGCCCTAGGTATGCTATCTTTACACATTATCCTTCAAGTACCAGCATTCTTCTGAACTTCAACAAAGTGATTGTTTTAGAAGGAGTAATGTTTTGCACATGTTCAGACAGGCAAATGCGTAAACTGTTTTTGATCTATGTAAGCATAATTGTTCATTTATTTATGCCCTACTTAGTGTATAATCCTATGCACAGTTGTTTGGGAGTAAGGCCCACTGATCACAATGAAATTTACTTCAGAGTAGTTTTCACTTTCAAAATTGCAATACGTGCAAGCCTAACCACAACAGCAGGAAAGAAAGTTTTCTGCAGACAATAAAGAATGGTGGAGTGAGATTTGCAGGTTACCTACATAACATGGAACGAACTGGATTAACAGTGCTATTCATATTTCAGCCCAAGAATCTTATATAGGACTATTGGTGCAGTTTATAAAATAATAAAGTTTCTGCTGCTTCACTGAATGTCAAGATTGGGTATCTCTTCACTATTACAGAAGTTACAGAACCCTCTCCTGATATCTGAACCCCTCTACTCAGTGACAACTGAGAGTATGACCAATAATTTTACCATTAGTAGCTATGCCATATTCTTGAGTAGCCACTCCTGCAAGTTTCATTGTGTTGAGAACCAAGTGCTTCAAGTAGCATGCTAGGTTTCCTGTAGCAGGGTCATTAGTTTTAACATGAATGAGCAAGTATGGTGGTGCATATTGTTCTGTGGGAACTAAGGAATTCTGTGCTAATGATGGAAATTGTGAAAGTGACAATAGTCAGCTTTATGTCCCTCTTTTGGTATTGCGTACATGACTCCAAAATAGTTCCCTGAGCCAGAGGTTCATGTACTGCATAGTTATCATAGTAACCTAATGCAAATATACTTGTTTAATGCTCGTATGAATCTTCTTTGAAGTCAATAGGCGAACTGATATAGGTGAAGAAGAAGCTAGGCTTCTAAAATAACAAGAAAGAATGCAGTATGTGCCAACTTAATTTGCTACCTTCTGTGTTTTACAGATTGATTTTGTAGCCCATGATGACATTCCATATTCCTCTGCTGGTTCAGATGATGTTTACAAGCATATAAAGGAGGCAGGTGGGACCAGTGTATTCATGCACTTAGTTTTCAGCTATTAAGTATACTACTCCCTCATGCAACAATCAGTGCAGGCAGATGTGAGAAACAGAGGTACATACTTTCTGTGGACTATTGCAGCACGTAAGAATGCTGCCTTCAAGTGCTTTTATCTCAAAACCCTAACTCTGTTTTTTCTGGAGGAACAAAAAACAGGAAATCTTGTTGAATCCTTTATGTGTGTCCTTCAGTATTATCATGTGAGCTACCTTTACAGCTTTTTTCATATGTATCCACTTGACTTTGGAGAAGAATGTTAGGATGTATAGCCCAGTTAGGTTCTGAAAAGTTCTTATACTGTTAAGAGCTATGCAGAAAGGTGAACTTCTACTTTTCTGTTGGAGTCTAACTATGATAGGAAAACATGTGGACATAAGAAAAGCCCTGATCAGTTAGACCAAAGATCCATGTAACTCAGTACCACTTTCCCCCACAAACTAGATGCTCCAGCCCATATGCTTCTTTTGTGTAAAATTACCATCACAAGAAGATAGTTCTGGCTCCCCAAGTAGAAGAAACACACAGCCATTTCAAAGTGCTGGTCCAGCAAAGTGCAATGACCAGACAGTAGCACCAAGCCTGGCCATCTCTGCAGCTGCCACTGCTGGAGATGGCATGACATAATTCCCCACTGCCACCGTCATTCCAAAGCTCTGGCTGGGCATTGGGGAGGCAGTGCAAAGACAGAAAATAAAGTGGTAGAAAGCAGCCAATTAGAGCAAGGCTGCAGCTGCCTCTAGCGGTTGCTAGATCAGTGAAAACTGGATGCTTGACCGTCAGCTGCAGCCACCGAACTCTATGGCAGACATGTAGAAGCCATGCAGAAACACTGTAACTGGGGCATACATAATGACAAGCAATGGTGTAGTATGCAAACCTTACAACAAACTGTTGTTTCTCCATGTGGTTTCATAGCAAATGTGCCAACCTTCACCATGGATGCTAGGTTCACACATAACAACAAGCCATGCCTGTGTCATTCTGAAATAACAGAAATCTCATAGCTCCCTTTTCCTTTTTGTCTTTAATCAGGAATGTTTGTGCCAACTCAGAGAACTGAAGGCATCTCAACTTCAGATATTATAACTAGAATTGTACGTGATTATGATGTTTATGCCCGTCGCAACCTGCAGAGAGGATATACTGCTAAAGAGCTGAATGTCAGCTTTATAAATGTAAGTGCATCAATCTCACCAGTTATGCTCAAACCAGATTGGATTTGAAAAGGGGGTGGGTAGCAAACAAAGATCAAGTCTGTTTTGTTGTAACTTTTCTAAGCAAATATTTATAATTAGAATGTTCACGGTCTGTTTCATGTCATTAATTAACACTAGGGATGTGCGCAGAAAACATTTTGGGTATAAAATCTGCTGAATTTCCTGCTTGCAGCAGCCCAGAGTCCAAGTTCTTGGTGGGCGTGCCCAGGATTCACAGGGTACTTGTCAGGGATCGGTCCCCATGTGTTGAACAGCAGTGCCGTTCTTCTGTGTCTCCCGCTGTTGCTTGCAGCAGTGAGCAGGGCAGAAGGTTGACCACTGGGAATGGGAGCCAGCACGCCTGCGCTCTGAGCCCCTTTTCTGCATGAGCTGCTGCCAGGAGCAGCAAGCATGGAAGAAGTCTGGTTGCTGGGAATGGTGGCTGGTGGAAGGCTGCCAATTGTGCAACCAAGGGTCTGTAACTGTTCACAGGCTTGGCTCGTTTTGTGGGGCTAGGCTGACCATGAGAGGAAGTTCACAGATTCTGGAGGATGGATTCCAAAAGGGTTAACACTGAAGCTCTTTAAATAAATTCCCTATCATGTTTATAAGCTCTGCTTAGAATTGCTTCATAATTTTCCCCCAGTGTGTATAAGTGTTTTGTGTTCAGAGTCAGGGGGCAGGGGGAAAACTATGGTCACATTATATAATAAGGTCATATAGGAGACTACAAACCCACCACCTAATAATACAGTTTCGCAAAATGTGCACCTGTATGAAATATATATGCACAGTCTTCACCATTAAATGATAGAGGACAGAAATATGGGCTTGATCTTTCTTTTTTGCACCTGTGTAGACCTGGTACCATTTACTTTCTGTTAAGAACAGATACTGCATTTCTGTTTGCAGTAAACCCTAAGTCACGTGCTCCTAACCATCTTTCTCCTTTTGAATGCACCATCACTGAATGCACCAACATTGCACTAGCCTCTGAAAGGCTAAGAAAGGAAAAGTACATAAATAGTTTTCACATGGACACTTTTGGAAGCAGCCCTGTATTTTCCCCAATGTTCCAAACATCAAACTTCTGGAAAGACAGGGGTCTTTCTCAATGTCGCCTGCCCATGAGTAGGTGCAGTCATAGTAAATGCTGTGTCCTGTGTTTCCACCAACATAAACTGAATAGGGCCTCTGAAAGAGATCTTAAATAAAATTTGTCAAACCCTCTGCTGAGATGCTGACAGATACACCCATCCCAAATGTTTGTTAGCTACAGGTCTACAATGCAGACCTCATTCAGATGAAGAAAAATGAACAGAGGTTTAACAAGATCCATCCACACCTTACACTGATTCCACTGTTCTAAAGTTGCTTCTATGGGAAACTAAATTTCATTTTTCATTTGTTAAACTGTGCTTCTTGGTTACATTTTGACAGCTCATGATGTTTCAGCAGGTATACTTAATAGTTATTCAACTTCAACTTAGTCAAGCTTTACTTCCACCTCATGGCCTCTTTGTAAGTCTATTTTGTTTTTTGTTTTTATTAGGAGAAGAAATATCGTTTTCAAAATCAAGTAGACAAAATGAAGGAAAAAGTGAAAAATGTGGAAGAAAAATCTAAAGAATTTGTGAATCGTGTAGAAGAAAAGAGTCATGATCTTATTCAGAAATGGGAAGAGAAATCTAGAGAGTTTATTGGCAACTTCCTAGAGCTATTTGGGCCAGACGGAGCTTGGGTATTTATTTATCTTTATAATTTATGAGCCACTTTTAGGTCTGCAAGGTAACATATACATTAAATCATGTGAAATTATATGATAACAAGTTTTCTAACAAACTCAAAATGTGAGAAAAATCATATTTAAAGCAAGGTAGTGAAGTTACATTTGAAATCATGCAAACATTAGGTTGTATAATGGTCCAACTATAACTGATCAAAGAAGAAGCAAAAATAACCTCCCTAGGGAGAAAGTTCCACAATCAGGTTGCTGCCACAGAAAAGGCCATGTCCTGGGTTTTTACTAAATGAACATCAAACAAGCCCTCTGAAGCCTATATTAAGCTAAGGCAATTGATATAGAAGTAGGTGGTCTTTTGGATCCCAAACTATTTAGGACTTTACAGGTAAGCACTATCCCCTTGAATTGTGCCCTCAAAGAGATCCCAGTGTAGTTGCTTTAGGATGAGTATATTACCATAAGTAAAGCTCAAACCAGAAAGCAAACAGGCCACAGCAACGTGGCTAGTTTGTACTAGCACTAGTTTTCAACACTCCTCAAGGTCATCTGCACATAGATAGTGTTGCGGTAGCAAAAATGGGAGGTGAATGAGCTATAGATCATTGTGACCAGATCCATTTTCTCTGGGAAAGGGCATAACTTCTACAAAACTGAGCAACAGCATACCTGCTCACATCAGTTACCTGACCTTCCAAGAACAATGCCCAAATCAGATGCCTTCTCTTCCAAGTGGTGAATCTGGTCCTTCAGTAGGAGTGCCATCCCATCCAGAGGAGACTGTATGTCTAATTTTGGATTAGCTTTCCTAGTTTTCCCCATCTTGTCTTGACCAAGTCTCAGGTTGTTGGCCCACATCCAAACCACCACTACATCCAGACAACTGTGCTGGAATTTCACAGCTTCCTTGGCAAAAATAGAACTGGGTATCATCAGCTTAGCAATGAGCCCTAGTTCCATATCTCCAGATGACTTCCTCAGCAGTTTCATGTAGATGTTAAAAAGCATAAGGGACAAAACAAAGCCTGACTAACCCTAGAGGCCAAGGTGATGACCAACATTCTGGGAACACACAATCAAATAGGACCAGAACATTGCAAAACAGTGTCCCCAGTTCGTACTGAACAAACAGCTCAGAAGGATACCTTGGTTGATGGTACCAAATGCAACTGAAAAGTTCAGCAGAAGCAATATGAATGTACTCCCCAGTACAGGATATCCACCAAGATGGCCAAGGTGTGTTTGCCCCAGATCACACCTGAACCGAGAACCAAATAAGCATCTTCAACCAAGATAACCTATAGTTGAGTTGCCACCACATTCTAGGATCTTACTCAAAAAAGGAATTCTGCAGTCTAGCCAATAATTAGATCTGTTTGTTTGGTCTGTTTTTGTAAGAGGTCTCACAGCTTGTTTTAATGGAACTGGAACGTAGTCTCCTTTAAAGAATCATTTAAAATCTCTACCACCCTATTGACCAGTACCTCTCTGGCAGCTTTTACTAACCACAATGTCCAAGGTCTGACACAGAAATGAGACTAACCCTCAGGCTGAACAAGATAAAACTCACCCATCAAAATTGGGCAATCTCCACTCAGGTTGCTCTCATAGCAGAGTTCAATTCAGAGGAGATATGAACAATTTTATCACCAAAATGTTTTACAAACTCATCACAGTGAATTGCTGAGAGTTACGCCTAACTGTGTTGGGGCCTAAAATGTAACAACCCCTCTATTACCCAAATGACCCTGCTATACAGCATGGTGCTAATACAATGGTGACAGAGAAGAGCAACTCCACTATCATCACTGTCACAGAACAGACCTTAAACTGTGTTCTAACCTACGTTTGATCGGATTTATTTCAGGTTTTCCTCCTGTACTTTGCTAGCTGTCTACCTAAATATACACAAGCTCTTCTAGTCTCTATATAGATATAGAGACTAGAAGTAGATATAGATATAGACTAGAATTAGCACTACTTTCAAGTAGGATTTATGTAATTACAATAGCATGGTTTGGTATTTTCCTTCCATTTTACATTTTTATAATAGGAAAATGGATGTGATATAAAGTATGCTCAAGGAAAATCTCTGTTTTCCCCCCGGAAACAGTTTGGAGTAGTTAAACTGCACTTGGGAAGTCTAGTTCTGTTTATAATTTATATTTTATACAGTTATGTGTATTTTATATTGCTATTTATGAATTTTAATTTATTTATTTGCAAGCCGCCCCGAGGCTTCGGCGAATGGGGCGGCCTAGAAATTTTCTAAATAAATAAATAATAAATGTATTACTGCCCTATGGATATGCCACAATAGCTTAGACTTTGCTTGTAAATCAGTAAAGTAGGAACAATGCCACACCTATCCATCTGTCCATCCATCCATCCATCCACCTGTGAAGTGGCTTCTTACTACCAGGTCAAGATAAATGTGGCCATTTGGGCACTCCACAGTTTTATGGACAACATTTAGAGGGAAATTTTAAAAAAGTTCAGGGGAATGGTGGGAGGTGGCAAGGGGTCTCATCATAGGGCAACCCACTACCTGAAATCCTTTAAATGTGATGCCAGGGATTAAATCTGGAACGTTCCTTGTCTGAAGCATGTTCTTTGCCACCAGATATGGTACCTCCAATTTAACATCAGAAAGGGTTTTGTAGAGAACCACCTGGTTAGGACCAAAAATAGTACTTTGCACACGAAAATGCTAAGTAAAGCATCAGCACTGATGCTTTAATATTCAGACTTAAAGATGTTCTGCTGCAAGCTTAGGAATTCAGCTACATACATTTTTATCAATTGAAAATAGGAGGTGAATGTGTGTGCATGTCCTTGTGTGTTGTTCTGGGTCTGAGAGTGGGAGCAACTACAGAGCAGGAAAGCAATTTGATGTGAAGGCCTTTGTAAGGCCAAGCCACATAAAATTACCCAGTGAAGAATGAAATCAGAGGTGGCATTGTTCTAGAGAAAAGCTTAGCAACAGTAAAGCCATGCTGTTCGGGTGGGGAGGGTGAAAATGAAGTCCATGTCAGTAATAGCAAAAGTTTTATAACTTGCTATTACTGTCAAAAATATTCTTAACATTAATTTTCCATATCAGATGTTGCTTTTAGTGTTGACATTGGATGTACAGAAATAGTTCCACACATGCTCAATTCTCAGATCATAAATGTGTATCTATTAATAAGCTATTATTACAATAACTATTTGTGGAATAATACATTTTGAGCCTACATACATTATGGGGAAGGTAGAGTAAGTAGTGCATAGCCTATTTAAAAAGCTAGAAATTATTCTAATATTGTTTTGCTCCTTGGGTGAATTGATAGAGCAGCCTCCTTCATGTGAAGAAGGTCCCAGATTTAATTCTTGGCAACTTGAGGTTGTGAACTGCTGAGGAAGGTGCTATGGTTGAAACACTTGCATGAAACTGTACTGTGGCCAGAATGTATCCAGAATCTATATGTAATATGATACTAACCCTTTTACTTTTTTCACAACATAAATCCATATGTAGATTATTCTCTACTTCTTTCTGCTCCACACAAACAATAGTTCCATGATAGTGTAAAAATACTTAACCACTTGCAATTGAAAAGGACTAAAATAGAATTTAAAATAGAATTTACATGTTTAAGTTTCTGAACCATGCATGTGTAAGGAGGAAACCCCTATTTTAACTCTCTTTGCAACGTTCAATTGCATTCTGAACCACTGATCTGTTCTTATCAGGTTGACCATCTATGGATATGATGATCTATGAATAAACCTATTTTTCTCTGTTTGCTTTCCAGAAGCAGATGTTTCAAGAGCGGAGTGGGCGCATGCTTCAAGCCCTGTCTCCCAGGCAGAGCCCCACAAGCAGTCCAACACGAGGACGTTCCCCATCACGATCTCCATCTCCGCCCTCCCCCTGGCTTTTCAGAAAGGCTTCCCAGGCTTCCCCCCCTTCCTCTCCAAAAGCTGCCTCAGCATCTATCAGCAGCATGAGCGAAGGAGATGAAGATGAGAAGTAGAAAGAGGAGTAGCAGTACTGAGAAAAAGAAAGAGCTACATAGATGGCCCACTACTTCGCAAGTGAAGTGGAAAGGAAAAGAAAAAAGATGCATGAGATGTTTCTGGAAAGGAAATGGGTACCACAGTGATACTGGAGCACAGAAGATTTTGGCTATAGCATAACTTGCTGAATGGTGGGGTAGCCAGACCAGCAGCACACAATGACAAGATATGCAAAAATACGACACACTTCCCAATGATTATAAACGCTTTATTGTGCTGTTGCAGTGGTTGCTGCTCAAGTCACTGAAGTGTTATGAGGAATCCTTGCATATAAGGAGATCCTTGCACTTTTTCATAGGAGCCAGTTAGGTTTAAGGTATGAAGTGGCATTCCCTTTGGCTGGACAAGATGCATCTACATCTGAGCTCCATTGCATATCTGCCAAAAGGCTGGACTTCACTAGAACAAACATGAAGCACTGTCTAGAAACAGCGTAAGCAACAGCAAACAATAAACCCCAGAAACAAACCACACCAAACCTGAACCTCTCTATCGCAATGGACTTATTTTGGATCTATTAAGTTTACTGGATGTTGCTTGTTGAACAGGCTTTTGTACATACAGGGCAAATTTATTTTAATGTGAATACAATTCATTTGGTCAACTGTTATTATGTTCTACCAGTGCCTCTAAAGCCAAAACGTCTTCTTTTTTTGGTCAGTTTTTACTCAGACATTGCTATAGAAGCCGTGCATTTCAAATAAATTTCACACCAGGGGAAATTTATTAAATAATCCACAGACCAATGCCCCACCTAGCTCCCATGTAATGTTTTGTACTCACAAGGCTTTTAAATTTATTTTCACAAGTATATTTCCATGTAAAGAAAAATGTTTTCTGCTTGCCGTGAGCTGAAGCTGGACACATTAAGAAGTCAGTTTTATGGGATTGTCTGAAATGCTAACCCATTCTACTGTCATGTTTTAATGTGTTTACACTCATGAAAGCCCATGACCAATTCTACAGAACCAAAAACATTACATTAGAATCAGGCCTTCATTACTGATCTTTGTATTTAAACATATTTTAATAATTAAGTATGCCACAAATTACATACGGAGCTACATCTCATCCTATTCTGAAGATGAGAAAGTGTTTTTCAGAGTATGAAAGCATATCCCCCACTATATGCTCAGATACTCAGTTACTTATGCAGCATGTAGGTACACAGAAGAAACTGTGTATTCCCTGTGCCCACTAATCCTGAGATTATAGCAGCTTGCATCAATAGGGTTGATGCAGTGGTACACGTACCACTGGTATGCCAAAGCCAAACATGATAGGCCTGTCTTGCAAAATGAGGTAGACGTATGAAAACCAATGGACGTTGAGGCTCATTCAGAATGTTAGCATGGCCAATAAGAGACCAGAGTTCAGAATTTTGCTTTTCTGTATATGGCATTTTCAAGCACTGTAAGTTTAGGGACTGACAAATAAATTTAGGTAGTGTTGGGCAAATCAGTTTTGGTTCTGCTCAGTTTCTCATTTTTCCAGACTTAGATTCATTTTGGCCAATTTCTGCAACAGTGCATGAGTGGTTTAAAATAATCTGCACAAAAACGTATGCATTGCTGTGTGCAGTTCTCCTAATGTATGTATATTGTATGCACTTTTCCCACAATGTATTCATTTTTGTGTGCATGTTCTGCTGCTCTACACATTTTTGCAAGATTTTCCTCCTATTATGTGTTTTTGTTCTTTTTAATATTGTGCACATTTTATGCATATTTCTCTAGCATATGAATTTTGTGCACATGTTCCTTTAATGCATGCATTTGTGTGAACTTTTTTGAGTGGCAAATTCTATCCCAACATTCAGGAAAGTCAATTTTGGAGCACAGCAGGGCTCTGGTTTACTCACTGGTTTGGGAGAAGCAAAGTTTGCATAAATATTCAGACTGAGGAAGTGTCTCACCCATTCCTACCTTTAGCTGAGCTACTTTTCATAGCCCACCTACTTCAATCAGAAACCTAACAAAGAGATGTTGGCATTGGTCTGAGAGTAGTCTCCCATCAGTCTGCCGGGCTCCTCCTTTCCAAGAAATGAGATGGCAAAGTGAATGAAATTATTTCTGACCTTTCAGGAAAATCTCCCCAAGTGTGATGGAACATATGTGTGGCAAGTCCTTAGTTATGGACAGCATCACAAATTCAGCCCCAGTGAGCAAAGACAGAGATATTTTGAGTTAGCTCTGTGATGTGTGAATTTCTTCCCTCCTTGATAAAGATTGAAAGGCTATCAAACATGATGGAACCAGGGTCACAAGAGCCTTTCCGCTGTCTCATAGGTTGGCTTTGTGGGATATTGAAATGCCCTGTTGTTGTTGCCTTTATACCCTCCTCTCATTTCTTGTCCACTGAAAACTTTTTGCCTTACAGACTTCAATAACAAATATGACTTTTCAAGACATGCCTCCAAATAGCTGTTTCAAACAATTGTAGCTTGATCACTTTCTGCCACATGAACACGCAGGGTGGTTTTCCTGCATATTTCCCTTCTGGAGGCAAATCTAAATTAATCTAATTAAAAACTTTCTGTGTTAATCAGGCATCCCTGGTGCTTTCATCTCATGCCTATGAGGGAACTGGTTTATATTTCTGATCTGTAGAAAAGTCAAACCTTTTTGTCAGAAATGCATCACAGTGAGGTCAACCAAACTGTCACTGATGCTGTTCATTGAGAATCCTGCTTGGATGAGAGACAAAACTCTGACATTTCAGGGTACTTACTTTAGCAGGACTTTTTAGTAGGGTGGATTGGGGGGGAGGGGACAATGTACATGTGTTGCTCTTAAATGTCAAAGGGAAATTCTAGTCAGAACAACCACCAATTGATTTCTGATGTACATTATAGATATGATATGCCTGGCAGTAAAGTCTTATATATGTGTATAATGTCTTCAGTTGGAAAATAGCAGTTTTTGTTGCCATGGCTCAAACTTGGATAAGTGATTCCAGCAATGACAGAATATAAAACATATGTTCAGCCATATAGGAAGTATTTTTCAACTTTGGGAAAGGCATGATTGGCTCTTTAAAAAATAATGAGTATTGACTGACTGTGTCCCAGGCTATTTATGTGCCCAAACTCCATATGAAAGTAAATGAAATACAATGGAAAATGCACTTACTTTTGTTCTTTATTGGACTGCTGCTTTCATCATACACCCAACCACAAGAACTGGACTAAGATGATTTCCAGTAGTATCAAACTTTCCTTGTGAGTATCCAGCAACTATAAACTGGGTAAAGAGGTAAGTGAAAAGCAGATCAAGCCATTTGGTGCTAGGCAACCTGTAGCTTCACCTGATTTCACTTAGTGATAGGGACTGAGATCCTGACAAGAGATGTGATTGGCATATTGCCTATTAACTGGAGAAAGCACCCAGTTCTGCTTAGCTAGACAGTTCTGCCTTGACTTTCTACTCCCTACTTCCTAGGAGACATGGGTGTTTGGGTGAACAGGCACAGAGGCATCTCTCTTTCCAATAGGATGAGGGGTGTTGTTGTTGTAGAATTTTGGGAAAGAAGTTTAAATCTTTTCTATGTGTTGTTTCACATTGTGATTTACCCCTGGAAGATGGAGATATGCCTGTATAAATTAGCAGGCATATTCACGTATCTCTGGTTGATCCCCAATATGACTGATGTAACCATGCTCAAGAAGGTCGGGAATACGCAGCATGCAATACAATGTGCAATCTCCTGGAAGTTGACGTGCACATTCACTACAACTCAGGTATGAGCCTCTGCTTAAACACTCTATTCATTTTCAACGGGCGGAAAATTCAAGAAACACCGCAAGGCAGTATTTGAATGAAGACCTCTCTGGGAGTGTGCTTTGTTCATGTGAAAAAGGTGACACACATGAGGAATCATTGAGAAAACTACTTGTGGTAAATCTGAGAAAATGCAACACAATTTAAGAGAAAATCTCAGCAGAATGAAGTTCTTGCAAAGCACCTATGCAAAGCATTTTACTGTTGTAGTTGTGCCTTAATACAGTATATACAACTCAATGTACCAATATAATTTCCAATAAATTTTACAGGCTTTCTAAATCCCACTTAACAGATTTTTAAATTTGGCAGCTGTCAGGGCTAAATACTCCTGTAAATGGGGTGGCTTGTATTTTTGTATGTTCCCAAAACATTAGAATCTTGGGAACAAGTACAAGAGTGAAGGTACATTGGGGACATAGGAGCTCTTCCTCATAATTTCAGAGGACCTTGGCATGAAGCGGGTGAAGGAACCACCACCGCCTTTTTGCAAACAAAGATCACTCCTGCCTTTGGGCATAACTGACAGCTTGCTCTTTGACAGCAGTCAGATATAACTAAATGGGGAAGAACTTGCCTGCTGCTTCTGAGGCTCAGTGCCTCGATAGGTGCCTACTACACTTTGCTGGCAGGGACCTCTTCCTGCACATTGCCCATCCAAAGCTTGCCTTCATCACAGTTGTGCAAGTATGGGCAAAGAACAAATGTTATGGTTTTTTGTAAGTATCTGCAAAAATTTCAGGGTGCTAATTAGGCAGATGTGATGAATCTTTTATGAGGGTGGGACTCCATCAGGTTCTATGGGCTCAGGTTCCTGGGCTCCGGTCTGCTTTGTCTCATGGTGTTGCTCTTCTGCATCATGGGCAGCAGCCTTTATTGGTGCTGCCCACAGCACAAAAGAAGGTTGCCTGTTGCACCACTCTCACTCCATGAGGATTCACAGACAGCTCAGCTCACTTTCTAAGACAGGGCCGAGCGTGAGATGAAGTCCATGGACTGAAGATTCTCTGGAGTGTTGTCACAAGCCTAGCACGCACGCATGCACAGACACGTACATACAACGCTAGATAATCATGAGTAGCCAGGGCATTCTGATGGAACTGCTTGTAACTGTCCAAATAGGAATTGCAAAAGCCAGTTTGAGAGTGAGTTTGCATAATCTTCAGGGGGAAAAGTTAGAAGAGGAAAAATGCTATGAGTTCTAAAGTTTGTGACAGGAGCAGGAACCAGGGAACAACTCACTCCTCCAGTGTCTCCTGAGAGAAGCAAGGGGTGTACTATCTGCTTAGAGAAGTGTATTTTCCTACACTATGTTCTGCCTATGTTCTGTTTTAAAAATAAAACAACTTTTACAAAGGCACCTTATCCTGGTGACTCATCCAGTTAAATGAAACTTTGTAGTCTTGTCCTAGGACTGCTTGACAAAGTGCAATATTGCATGGTATTTAAATAGATTTTTTTCTTATTATTGCACTTATACTCACATTTTTCTTTTTTCAAGGAGCACAGGGCAGCTTACATGCTTCATCCTATCCTCTCCATTTCATCCTCTCAACAGACCTGTGAGGTAGTGCAGGCTGAGGATCATTCACTAGCCAAGAACTACCCAGTGTTCACAGACTTGCTCTTTCTAAGATCAGGCCAAGCATGAGAGGAAGTGTGTGAATGCTAGAGGGACAGATTCTGCTACATGTTGTCATCTTAATGAGAACTGTGGCATATAGGTGAATCACAACCTTGCATTCCATGAATGACACTGGTAAAATATTGGTAGTTGGTAGGGTAGATAAATCCAGTTTGTGTCTCTTACCTAATTTCTCATGCTTCTTCCCACAAGCTTTGCTCATCTTCCACCTGCACTCATGCCGCAATCAAGCACTTTTCCTCCCTCCCATGAAGTCTATTATCTATTAAGTTCCCCTGCAAACTATCTAAACTACAGCCTAGATGAAGATGACGACCAGATTTTAGCTCAAATAATGAAAAGTAATTTTAAT